ATAGTGAAAAAAAACAAAATCAGTTCATAACTTATAAAATTCATAATATGAATGCAAACATTTGCTCTGAATGTTTGCTTAATTTTTTAAAAATAATTTTATTTTTAGTTATTTATTGCTATTTATTAATGTGTTTAGTATTTATGGTATTTTTAATGACAAACATACTGGTTTTATCAAATATCAATTTAAATAAACTGTTGATTATGTTGATATTGCATGTTAATTATATTTACATTTTTTATTAGCCAACACAGTGATTGTTGTAACGTATAATATGTATAAATAGAAAATTAAATTATATTTAGATATAATTTATTGGTTTCATATTATGCAATACTAAACTTATAAATATCATATTTTTATTTATAAAAATACCTAAATAATGTTTTTCTCAGGATATTTACATAAATAACTTTTTTATGTGTGTAAAACTCAAATAATTGTTTGGTATATTTGTTGTGTATGTTTATGTTAGTCTGTGTAATCAAATAGTATTACTTTTAAAAATTTAAATTTTAAACATAAAGTTTTGAAATTTTTTTGGTAATTTTTAAAATTATTTATAATAAAAATATAAATACTGTTTATTTAACTCCACTCATATCAACACATTATTATTTAAGTCTAAATTTTTATTTAATCATTAAAATATAAACTGCATCCTAATATTATATTGGGCAACTTAAGTAAATACTAATAAAATTAATGTTTACGATAATAAAATCGTGTTTTTATAAAAAACTTTGCGATTAATAAAAGTTTTTTTTTAAAAATAAAATAGTTGCGAAAATTTGTTGATTTATTATAATACTTTAATATAAGATTATTAATATTTGTAAATTTTGTTGAAATATTTTTAATAAAAATTAATTAATTTTCGTATTACAGAAATTGATCTAAATTTAAAGATTATGATGTTTTAGTTATATACATACTATGTTGTATACATAGATAATAAACCTGGATAATAAAATATTTTTCAATTTTATTATTATTTAAATCTGATTGAGAAAATTAAAATGTTTATTATCTGTTCAATAATATAAATATTGTGTTTAACTAAATAGATAATTTGTGTCTATAATTAAATGTTTTAGTTATCAATAATATTATTATATAAACTACTAATTTATTTTTATTCATTAGTCACTCAATTATTAATTTTAATTACAACAAATGTTTATTTAGTTAAATCAGTGTTTATGAATATATTTATTTAATGCTTTTAAAAAAATTTGTAATTAAAACTCATGTTTTTGATACTATTGAATATTTGATACTATTTATAGATATATTTGTTTTTATAAATATAATTATTTTTACAGTTAATTTTGTAGAAACTTCATAAAAGTTTCTTAACTAAAATTTAAAAAAACGTTAGAATCTTTAGTGTTAAGTAAATTTAATGTTTTAATTATGAATAAAAGTTTTTATTAGTTTATATTTTAAGTATTTTTTCATTGTATATTTAATTATATTCAATTAAAATAGTTTCATTATATAAAAACAAATAAACAATTATTTTTGATTATATACAGTAAAATTGTATTAATAAATACAAAATTATAAGTAAATAAAATATATAATAAATTGCAGTCATTTATCATTTTGTATAAAAAAGCAAAATTTCTAAACTAAATAATGCCAATATCAATAGTCAAATAATATACATGCAATAATTTATTGATGAATATTTTTATAAAATTATTTAATAATAAACATACCATAACTTTACGGCTCATTAATTATACAGTAATAATCAATTTATTTTAAAATATTTTTTTTGAAGATCTTATGAATCTATTTATAAATACTATTTCTAAACAACATGTGTTTAGATTTAAGAATATCTTAATTTGTAAATCATTTTGATATTTATAATTATTTAAAACTTATTTTTGTCTAATATTTATGGTTACAAAATGACAATCTTATTCAAAGTCATTAACAATAATGTGTTTCTTATGTCGTGAATATACTATTGACATAATTTTAAAAGTTTTAATGTCAATTAAATTACATTATTTTGTAAATAATAAGTTTTTTTTTGCTTAAAAGTCAAATATTCTTATAGGATTTACTATGAATTTTGTAATAAAAATTTGCATTTAAATTGCAACAAATTGTTTTTCACTTAATAAAATTATTACATATAATAAAATTTTAAAATTAAAAAATAATTCTTTACTAATTAATATATTTATTATTTTTAATTTAGATATTTTTAATTCAATACTATCTAAAAATTTGAAAAAACTCTTTTATATAGAAAAACTTAATAATGTCTTAATATAGAAAAACACAATTTTGAAATTCACAGCACATTTGCTTTACTAGAAACTAATAATTTGTTTTATTTTCTAAAATTAGTATACATTGGTTGACATTAAATGTTTTCATTAAGGCTAAGACATTGTCTTAAGTAATGAAATCACAAGTGTTTGTGTGTTTTAATCTCTTAGTTTGACTTAACAATAGTATTAAAAGTTTTAATTAAGCAAACTATACAAGATTTTTAATAAATGAAACATTTTCTGTTATACTTAGTTTGTTTAATTAAAATTGTTTAATATATGTTAGTTATTAAAAGTTAGAAACTAAATCTTAGATATAAAATATAATAGTGATTATATGTTATAACAAAATTATTATATAACTTAAAATTTTATTGTTACATTATATTGTATTATTTATAATAATACTAAAAACTTAAAATTATAAATATGAATATATAAATTTTTAAATATATAAAATTATTATTTTTATAACTGTATTATATTATATCGTATAATACCTGTATGTTTGCTTACCTAATATCCTATATATATGTTAATACAATATATTGTAATTAAAATGATATATAGGTATAAAATTTTATAGTTAAATGCTAAATAAGATCTCAACAAATAAAATTAAAAATAAGAATTTATTATTTTCTTTTTAAATTGATTTATATTAAATAAAATCTCAACTGTGATATTGTGTTAAATTTTATTTTATTTTTATAATCAATTTTAGTTTAATATAAAAAGACTTATAAAGTACTGAACAATATAAAATAAAATTTGTCATGTTTGAGTAATATATTTTTAAAAATGATCTTGTACAAATAGTAAATCTAATTTTATTTAATGCATTTATTTTTATAAAGATTTGTAATATATATGTTTAGTTACAATAAATAATTTAATATATATATATGCATTATATTGTAAAATCTATAGGATATAGTCAAAATGTATTGTATTATTGTTTTTTTTACTTTTTTAAAAATAAACATAATAATACTAATGCAACATTTTATTAAATGTAAATGATATAGACTGTTAAAAAAATATTTTTTTATTAGAAATTTTCTTGAAAACATTTATTTTAAAATAAACATTTTGAACGTTTTGATATAAAATTAACAATATTGAAATGCAATCAGTTTAATATATATTTATTTATTATTTAAAATTAACAATTATTTTTCATAACTTATATAACTATATATTATATAACTAAAATCAAACCTTGAGATTCCTATTATTTATTAAAAAGTTTTTTTTATTTACAATTCATTGAGACTTTAGTTAATTGTAAAGAATGAAACATAATATTTTTGTATAAATTTACAATAATATATAAGATTATTATAATAAAATAATTTATTCTCTAATAAGATACTTAAAAGTTTAATTACATTATTATAAATATTTTGTGTAATATTTTATATTTTCAATTCATTAGAATTTAAGAATTATTGTTGAAAACATTAATTAAAATATAATTTTATTTTACCTAAGTTTTTGATAAATTTTCTTAGAATCTTTGAAATTTACATAACATACAGTAAGTAATATCATTTAATATAATAAATATATACTATATATAATAACTGAATATATATAATACTGAATAAATTTTTGATAAAACCAATCGTATTATATTTGACATTACATTATATAATGTCGTCTTTTACTTATTGAAGTGTGTATTAAATGCTACTTATGTTATCGTGTATTAGTATTCAAGTCAACTAAAAGGCAAATAAAGTAAATATTATTTGCTTTTAAATTTAGGCAAATAGACAATGAAATAAAAATAAAAATAAGATAACAATTTTTATAAGGAATTAATTTTTTTATTTGCATTAAAATTACATTTGAATAATTCAAAGAATTGATTATAAAACTATTTTTATCTAAACTTAATAGAATATTCTATAGTATATTATGAATCTCTTGTATAAATAATTAGTTATTTATGTAGACAAATGTTAAGACAATAAATGTTAAGAAACAAATGTAATTATTGAATATATTTTTTTAAATTGTAATTTAATTGTAAGTATTATAATATTTTTTAACAAATGTGTTTACAAAAACATTTAATATATTAATTAAAATTAACTTTTAAACATAATAATCAATAGAGTTATCTATTTTAAATGATGCTAAATATAATATATTATCAATAAAATATCAATATTAATCTAATGCAATATAAATGTGTATTTTATTAACTCATTTTATCAACAAATTCAAAAAGTTGTTTTTTCCGTTTACACACTAAATGTAAGGCACAAAATAATTGTAAAAAACACGATGTTTTCAAAGATTATATCTATATTTTGTGTTAAGATTAAGCTTAAACTTTACCAAAGAATATAGAAAATCAATTTTTGTTTAGTTTTTTTATTTATATAAAAAAATTCTTTTTAATCGCTATAAACTTTTATTAAGTATAATACACAAACAAAAAATTGTAAATAAAGTGAAAATAGATTTTTATCAAAATCTAGTTATTTAACTATAACTCATAGTATACTATACAGTAATAGTTAATTTAAAAATAAATTGATTATTATAAGTCATCTATCAATATATCAAATATATAGATTGATAATTTTGCACTTTATTATTATTACATTATGACATTGAAGGTTAACTTTAATCTGTATTTTGTAATATACATAACTTAATCCTAATGTATTAATATTATCTAATTAATAGATACATAGCCATTATCTACCCATTGGCCAGTTCACGACTCACCAAATCGTTTGGCACCGTAATAGTGCTCATCATATGGTTTTTGGCTATAGGTCTGGGATCCATATCCTTCTTCAACTCGATGGCTGAGCCATTTGAATGGGCAAACAGTACATATTATGACTGTAAGGAAACGTGGACTCTTGAAACGGCCCGTGCGTTCACTTTAGGCATATTTATCATAACCTTTGCACTGCCTATTCTCATATTAACGTTCGCCTACGGGTCGGTTGGTCTGAAAATGTTGAGACACACGACCCCTGGCAATGCCGATCTGGTACGCGATGAGGCACAGCATAGCGCCAAACTTAAGGTTAATAAGGTTACCAAAAGTTATCCCTTTTTTTAAAATACTTGTTAGATTAAAATTAGTATTATAAGCAATTTATTACAGTAATAATTACAAATTATTTTTTTTTGCATAATAACTATTTGCTATTTGTCTCGCATCTCATTCAATTTGTTAACATTTGACATTTTTTAAAATTATATTTTATTATTTAAAATAAACAATTGGTATTTATTTTTATACGAATATATTTATAAATAGGTCATCAAAATGTTGTCGACAATTGTGTTTTTATTTGCCGTTTGTTGGCTTCCCATTCATGTTCTCAATTTGTTTATTTATTATGCTCGGGATTGGATGGTCGGTCTATACGATACCGAAACCGGATATAATGTCTACATAGCACTGACCATTGGCGCCCATTGGTTTTCAATGGCCAACTCTTTCGGTAATTATAATACAGTACAATACAGTACTACATAATTTGATTAATTTAATTAAATTTAGTTTTATTATTATTAGAAAGTTTTTGTCCCTATCATTTAGTTTTATTATAATATTAATGATAAAATGAGTTAATAAGAAAAAATTAGCAAAATAAAAATAGATGTTTGCAACAACAAAAAACAATATAATTAGTTAATTGAATTTGTGGGTCATATTATTATTGGAAAAATTCGACATTTTTATTAACATTTGTTTCTTAATTTATTTTTATTTTGTTTTAATTTATAATATTAGTGTTTTTTTAGTGATTTACAAAAGCATTAATTTTATTTCTACTATTTATATTGTAATATTAAGTTATTAAGTTTAAATTAAATCTTGAATAAATGTAAGTTAAAATTATTTTTATCAAATTACAATGTGTTGATTTAATTTATGAAATTGAAAAAGTATAGTATTTTAATAGAAACTATTAATTTTGAAAAATTAATAATTTAAAAATTAATTAATTTAAATAATTTGATAATATTAAAACTTATAATAATTAGATATGAACAAGTCAATTTTGGTGTTTAGTATGCACTCATTATAGTGTGCTCTTATAAATATGAGATGACCGTTTGTCTCCCCCCATACAATCCCCACAAAAATATGATACATATTAATATTAATTGGCTATTAATAATAGGTCATCGATAAGTGCACTGGTAGTTTAGTGATAATGTAATGTATGCAAAACAATACATACAATTACAATTTAAATTTTATATACACTACACTGTGTACTGAACTTATAATGTAAAGAGAAAATTAAAACACGTTTATAATATAAGTAATTTATAATAAAATTTTAATTTAATTATAACCAGTGAACATTTTGTAATAATAATTTAATTTAAAGCATAATATTATATACAATATAATAGATTGTAGATTATGTTTTAATTTTATAATAAATAATTAATACTTTTTTAAAATTTTATTTTACAGTAAACCCAATAATATATTGTTTTATGAGTGAAAACTTCAGAGTAAGTATTTAACAGAAATAAAAAATGATTGATTGACACAAAGAGTTTAAATTTGACCACTGATTATGAAACTGTAGTATTAGTAGCACTACTACTGTTGGCCCCAAATAATAGTCCCAGAGTTTTGTCAATATTTGTAAATATTTAAAGATATCAATAATTGTTTTTCTTTATTGCTGACCATTTTTAATGACAGTCAAGTTTATCAAGTTTTCTAACAATAAACTAAATTTTGAAGACAGATCTCAAGATACTGGTCTCGAGATGCTGTCCACTGATGAAAGGTCGCGCCCGACGGGGAGCTACACTTCGCAGCAGTGATTCTCTGCACTCGTATCGGACGTCGGTGTTTGCGATGTCCACAAAAAACACGAGTTCGGGTAACAGTCTGATCACTATGAACTCAATCAGGACTCATCCGCGCGCCGGTGACAACAACTGTGGCCACAAACTCAACGGCAACTCTAAGACAAGAGATTCATATATTCAGTAATTTTTCAGTACAAAGATGTGAATGTTTGAGTGAGTGATGATTGAGAGAGAAAGAGAGAGAGAGAGAGAGAGAGAGAGAGAGAGAGAGAGAGAGAGATTTAAGACATTTTTTCAATAATAAATTCATTTTGATTGACAATAATGTAAAATATATATATCATATGTACTCTCACTTTTGTCAACCAATGTTTGCCCTCAAAACAACTTCTGATTGTCATATATTTTAATACCGAATATACATTACATATTGAAATATACAACTAATATATCTATATATATCGTAAATATTTTATTATACAATAAACATTATATATTTATATATGTATACAAAATATATATATTGTAATATATTTTGTATAATATATATATATATACATAAAGTAGGTAAATGTATGAAATATTTATAAATTTTGATTGAAGATTTAAAATGTATTATCTATTAAATGTGACTTTTTTTTGAATAATGTTTTTATTTGTTGAAAATATTGTCACAAAAAGCTTAAAATTGTAACAAAAAATATGGGTTTTGATTTAAATCAAACTATATATCCATATATTTATTTAATGTTGTGACGTTTAGTTGACATTTTCAAGTACAGTAATTGATATTTTAAATTATGATTATTATAATTGTTAAATATTTATTTTTTCCTAATATAATGCACATAAATTTTAAATAAATTATGTAAATTATTATCAATGTTAAATGTAAAGGTGTAAGTAAGTGGTGTATTAAAAAAAATTGTATCAAACAATTGCAATGAAATGATAAAAAATAAAAACAAACAAACAATTCATCTAAAATTTAAATCACAAAATAAAAAAATAAGTTTTGTTTAAATTTTAATTAATTATATTTAATAGTAACAATATATTCCAGGTCACTCATGTATATTATTTTGAGTAATGTACAATACAGTTGGTTTTAAGTGGTTTATACTAATCTGGATATCTTAAATAGAAATTATAAAAAAATTGATTTAAACATTAAATTTATAAAATAAAAAATATAAACCAGTTAAGAATGCTAGAAAGCATTTTCAGAAAAAAAACTTGAATAACATTGAAAACTATTAGTTTGTATAATTATAGCGGCTATATAATAACATATAAAAATTTAAAAACTGGTCAAATATACATAATATAAATATTGGTATATGTATGGTATCAAATGATTTAGTATAACAAAATAATAATCTATAATTATACTTTTTCCGCTTATAATTATTCTTTATGTTCCCGTAGATATCAAAATTTTAATGCATATTTTTTATCCTTGTTTTTGATGGTTTATTCAAATCTATACTTTAAAAAAATTTCTTAAATTTTTTTTTACTTTGGCCGCCATTTAAAAAAATTTTATACTGATTTATTATATCATATTTTTGATACTCTTTACAATTCTAAACGTTAAAATTTTTACCTATTTTTTTTACTTTGGCCGCCATTTTCTTTATGTTCCCGAAGAGATATCAAAATTTTAATGTATATTTTTTATTCTTATTTTTGATGCTTTATTCAAATCTATACTTTAAAAAATTTTTCTTAAAATTTTTTTTACTTTGGCCACCATTTTGTCTGTGTTCCCGAAGAGATATCAAAATTTTAATTAAACTTTTCAATACATTATTAGTAGTCCTCTAACCGAATCTGAAGTCAGAATTTCAAAATTCGCAAAAAAATTGCTACACACACACACACACAAAAGGCTCGTATAGATTTCAGAAAACAAAACTTTTCAAGTTTTTTTTGAAAATTATATTTAAATTTAAGATTAAATACAAAGTGTTGACAAATTAAAAAAAATAATTAAAAACTACTTCAAATATATATAATATAATAAAAGTATAATATTGAAACGGTTGGATGGGTTGGTTAAGGTGTCCGGTGCTGACTCGACGTTATCGGCACCAAAGTGTTGTCGGTCCTAGAGATGAGTCGGCACCAACACCTATGTAGTTGAGGACATCTGCGACCACAGTATAGCTCTGACGTTGAGCGGTGATGGCTATGATTAGCCAGAAGTGATGAGCGGTGCTGTGATGGCCTATGAGTTGAGCGGTGCTGTATCGACCAATGGGCTGAACGATGCTGTATCGGGTAATGAGCTGAGCGGTGCTGTATCGGCTCAAGTGTTGAGCGGTGCTGTATCGGCCAATGTGTTGAGTAGTGGTGGTGATGGACACGGGAAAGGGACACACGCGACTGACACGGCAAGGGGGCCCGTAGAAGAAGTGAAGAGAAAAAGTAAGAGAGAGAGAGAGGAGAAAAAGTACGGGCCAAAAGCCCAAATGACTTACTCGGGACTTATAACCAAAACCGAGTTTTATTTATAACACATATAAAATTAAAACTAATACAATGAGATACACTATACTAGTGTATCGGAGAGTCAAGTGACGGCAACCGACCAGTTCAGGAGTAAGACAACTTGTGTCGAGCATTTCGCTCGACTTAGAGCTCAGCAGTCTGATCGCTGCATAAGCCACTGCGCGCGCAAACTGTTAAACTCTGCATTCATATTTGATGACTACTTTTGCATACACTACTACTTTGCTCTTATTGGTTAATTCAAACTCTGCCTATTTTTGATAAGTCGCACACTACCACCTAAAGGCAAATTCTCATTTGCATTAAAATACAATACACAAGTGTGCATAGAAATTAATTAATTCATTAATGTTAAAGTATAGGAAACAAAAACCCTTGTTAACCCCTGTATATAAAATATTTAAACCAATGGTTACATAGTATTCACTGAAACGCAAGTGCGTCACTGCATTTACTGACACTATATGTGTCACAAACTAAACTTATATGTTTGTATGTTAAAGTATAGCTAATGTTATTTCTATGGCAATGTTAAACCCATATTTATAATAGTGAATGAGCCGCTAATGCTATTCCTATGGGTATACTAAACACATACTTTATAATACTAAATAACCAGTTAATGTTATTTCTATGGGAATAAATATCTCATATTAAACTATGTATTTAATACACTAAAACATTACTGTAGTTAAAACATGAGAGGTTATATAAGTAATTAAATTTATAATTTTAGTACATTTACTATTGTTTTAAGTAATTTATTATTATTCCGCTACAGTATAATCAAAATAACATTTTAAGATATTAATCTCCGGATTTTTGTATGACACCTTTCCGCAACAACCATATTTTAATTTAAATCTAAAATGTATTGTTAAATTTTCAATTTTTATTCAAAGCAATGTTATTTTTACGGGAAATTTTAAATGTTTCTTGAGCTCAGGTAGGTTTTAGGGACAGGTAGACTGGTCCTATGTAACTATATTTTGCTATAGACACAGGGCACCGGTAGGATAGCTACATTAGTTGACGCGCCTAATAGCCGCAATTGACGCGCCATAAAGCCGGAGTTGACGCGCCTAATAGCCGCAATTGACGCACCATAAAGCCGGAGTTGACGCGCCTAATAGCCGCAATTGACGCGCCATAAAGCCGGAGTTGACGCGCCTAATAGCCGCAATTGACGCGCCATAAAGCCGGAGTTGACGCGCCTAATAGCCGCAATTGACGCGCCTAATAGCCGCAATTGACGCGCCATAAAGCCGGAGTTGACGCGCCTAATAGCCGCAATTGACGCGCCATAAAGCCGGAGTTGACGCGCCTAATAGCCGCAATTGACGCGCCATAAAGCCGGAGTTGACGCGCCTAATAGCCGCAATTGACGCGCCATAAAGCCGGAGTTGACGCGCCTAATAGCCGCAATTGACGCGCCATAAAGCCGGAGTTGACGCGCCTAATAGCCGCAATTGACGCGCCTAATAGCCGCAATTGACGCGCCATAAAGCCGGAGTTGACGCGCCTAATAGCCGCAATTGACGCGCCTAATAGCCGCAATTGACGCGCCATAAAGCCGGAGTTGACGCGCCTAATAGCCGCAATTGACGCGCCATAAAGCCGGAGTTGACGCGCCTAATAGCCGCAATTGACGCGCCTAATAGCCGCAATTGACGCGCCATAAAGCCGGAGTTGACGCGCCTAATAGCCGCAATTGACGCACCATAAAGCCGGAGTTGACGCGCCTAATAGCCGCAATTGACGCGCCTAATAGCCGCAATTGACGCGCCATAAAGCCGGAGTTGACGCGCCTAATAGCCGCAATTGACGCGCCATAAAGCCGGAGTTGACGCGCCTAATAGCCGTAATTGACGCGCCTAATAGCCGCAATTGACGCGCCATAAAGCCGGAGTTGACGCGCCTAATAGCCGCAATTGACGCGCCATAAAGCCGGAGTTGACGCGCCTAATAGCCGCAATTGACGCGCCTAATAGCCGCAATTGACGCGCCATAAAGCCGGAGTTGACGCGCCTAATAGCCGCAATTGACGCGCCATAAAGCCGGAGTTGACGCGCCTAATAGCCGCAATTGACGCGCCATAAAGCCGGAGTTGACGCGCCTAATAGCCGCAATTGACGCGCCTAATAGCCGCAATTGACGCGCCATAAAGCCGGAGTTGACGCGCCTAATAGCCGCAATTGACGCGCCATAAAGCCGGAGTTGACGCGCCTAATAGCCGCAATTGACGCGCCATAAAGCCGGAGTTGACGCGCCTAATAGCCGCAATTGACGCGCCATAAAGCCGGAGTTGACGCGCCTAATAGCCGCAATTGACGCACCATAAAGCCGGAGTTGACGCGCCTAATAGCCGCAATTGACGCGCCTAATAGCCGCAATTGACGCGCCATAAAGCCGGAGTTGACGCGCCTAATAGCCGCAATTGACGCGCCATAAAGCCGGAGTTGACGCGCCTAATAGCCGTAATTGACGCGCCTAATAGCCGCAATTGACGCGCCATAAAGCCGGAGTTGACGCGCCTAATAGCCGCAATTGACGCGCCTAATAGCCGCAATTGACGCGCCATAAAGCCGGAGTTGACGCGCCTAATAGCCGCAATTGACGCGCCATAAAGCCGGAGTTGACGCGCCTAATAGCCGCAATTGACGCGCCATAAAGCCGGAGTTGACGCGCCTAATAGCCGCAATTGACGCGCCTAATAGCCGCAATTGACGCGCCTAATAGCCGCAATTGACGCGCCATAAAGCCTAATAGCCGCAATTGACGCGCCATAAAGCCGGAGTTGACGCGCCTAATAGCCGCAATTGACGCGCCATAAAGCCGGAGTTGACGCGCCTAATAGCCGCAATTGACGCGCCATAAAGCCGGAGTTGACGCGCCTAATAGCCGCAATTGACGCGCCATAAAGCCGGAGTTGACGCGCCTAATAGCCGCAATTGACGCGCCATAAAGCCGGAGTTGACGCGCCTAATAGCCGCAATTGACGCGCCTAATAGCCGCAATTGACGCGCCATAAAGCCGGAGTTGACGCGCCTAATAGCCGCAATTGACGCGCCATAAAGCCGGAGTTGACGCGCCTAATAGCCGCAATTGACGCGCCATAAAGCCGGAGTTGACGCGCCTAATAGCCGCAATTGACGCGCCTAATAGCCGCAATTGACGCGCCATAAAGCCGGAGTTGACGCGCCTAATAGCCGCAATTGACGCGCCTAATAGCCGCAATTGACGCGCCATAAAGCCGGAGTTGACGCGCCTAATAGCCGCAATTGACGCGCCATAAAGCCGGAGTTGACGCGCCTAATAGCCGCAATTGACGCGCCATAAAGCCGGAGTTGACGCGCCTAATAGCCGCAATTGACGCGCCATAAAGCCGGAGTTGACGCGCCTAATAGCCGCAATTGACGCACCATAAAGCCGGAGTTGACGCGCCTAATAGCCGCAATTGACGCGCCTAATAGCCGCAATTGACGCGCCATAAAGCCGGAGTTGACGCGCCTAATAGCCGCAATTGACGCGCCATAAAGCCGGAGTTGACGCGCCTAATAGCCGCAATTGACGCGCCTAATAGCCGCAATTGACGCGCCATAAAGCCGGAGTTGACGCGCCTAATAGCCGCAATTGACGCGCCATAAAGCCGGAGTTGACGCGCCTAATAGCCGCAATTGACGCGCCTAATAGCCGCAATTGACGCGCCATAAAGCCGGAGTTGACGCGCCTAATAGCCGCAATTGACGCACCATAAAGCCGGAGTTGACGCGCCTAATAGCCGCAATTGACGCGCCTAATAGCCGCAATTGACGCGCCATAAAGCCGGAGTTGACGCGCCTAATAGCCGCAATTGACGCGCCTAATAGCCGCAATTGACGCGCCATAAAGCCGGAGTTGACGCGCCTAATAGCCGCAATTGACGCGCCTAATAGCCGCAATTGACGCGCCATAAAGCCGGAGTTGACGCGCCTAATAGCCGCAATTGACGCGCCATAAAGCCGGAGTTGACGCGCCTAATAGCCGCAATTGACGCGCCATAAAGCCGGAGTTGACGCGCCTAATAGCCGCAATTGACGCACCATAAAGCCGGAGTTGACGCGCCTAATAGCCGCAATTGACGCGCCATAAAGCCGGAGTTGACGCGCCTAATAGCCGCAATTGACGCGCCATAAAGCCGGAGTTGACGCGCCTAATAGCCGCAATTGACGCGCCATAAAGCCGGAGTTGACGCGCCTAATAGCCGCAATTGACGCGCCATAAAGCCGGAGTTGACGCGCCTAATAGCCGCAATTGACGCGCCATAAAGCCGGAGTTGACGCGCCTAATAGCCGCAATTGACGCGCCTAATAGCCGCAATTGACGCGCCATAAAGCCGGAGTTGACGCGCCTAATAGCCGCAATTGACGCGCCTAATAGCCGCAATTGACGCGCCATAAAGCCGGAGTTGACGCGCATAATAGCCGCAATTGACGCGCCATAAAGCCGGAGTTGACGCGCCTAATAGCCGCAATTGACGCGCCATAAAGCCGGAGTTGACGCGCCTAATAGCCGCAATTGACGCACCATAAAGCCGGAGTTGACGCGCCTAATAGCCGCAATTGACGCGCCATAAAGCCGGAGTTGACGCGCCTAATAGCCGCAATTGACGCGCCTAATAGCCGCAATTGACGCGCCATAAAGCCGGAGTTGACGCGCCTAATAGCCGCAATTGACGCGCCATAAAGCCGGAGTTGACGCGCCTAATAGCCGCAATTGACGCGCCTAATAGCCGCAATTGACGCGCCATAAAGCCGGAGTTGACGCGCCTAATAGCCGCAATTGACGCGCCATAAAGCCGGAGTTGACGCGCCTAATAGCCGCAATTGACGCGCCATAAAGCCGGAGTTGACGCGCCTAATAGCCGCAATTGACGCGCCATAAAGCCGGAGTTGACGCGCCTAATAGCCGCAATTGACGCACCATAAAGCCGGAGTTGACGCGCCTAATAGCCGCAATTGACGCGCCTAATAGCCGCAATTGACGCGCCATAAAGCCGGAGTTGACGCGCCTAATAGCCGCAATTGACGCGCCATAAAGCCGGAGTTGACGCGCCTAATAGCCGCAATTGACGCGCCTAATAGCCGCAATTGACGCGCCATAAAGCCGGAGTTGACGCGCCTAATAGCCGCAATTGACGCGCCTAATAGCCGCAATTGACGCGCCATAAAGCCGGAGTTGACGCGCCTAATAGCCGCAATTGACGCGCCATAAAGCCGGAGTTGACGCGCCTAATAGCCGCAATTGACGCGCCATAAAGCCGGAGTTGACGCGCCTAATAGCCGCAATTGACGCGCCATAAAGCCGGAGTTGACGCGCCTAATAGCCGCAATTGACGCACCATAAAGCCGGAGTTGACGCGCCTAATAGCCGCAATTGACGCGCCTAATAGCCGCAATTGACGCGCCATAAAGCCGGAGTTGACGCGCCTAATAGCCGCAATTGACGCGCCATAAAGCCGGAGTTGACGCGCCTAATAGCCGCAATTGACGCGCCTAATAGCCGCAATTGACGCGCCATAAAGCCGGAGTTGACGCGCCTAATAGCCGCAATTGACGCGCCATAAAGCCGGAGTTGACGCGCCTAATAGCCGCAATTGACGCGCCTAATAGCCGCAATTGACGCGCCATAAAGCCGGAGTTGACGCGCCTAATAGCCGCAATTGACGCGCCTAATAGCCGCAATTGACGCGCCATAAAGCCGGAGTTGACGCGCCTAATAGCCGCAATTGACGCGCCATAAAGCCGGAGTTGACGCGCCTAATAGCCGCAATTGACGCGCCATAAAGCCGGAGTTGACGCGCCTAATAGCCGCAATTGACGCACCATAAAGCCGGAGTTGACGCGCCTAATAGCCGCAATTGACGCGCCATAAAGCCGGAGTTGACGCGCCTAATAGCCGCAATTGACGCGCCATAAAGCCGGAGTTGACGCGCCTAATAGCCGCAATTGACGCACCATAAAGCCGGAGTTGACGCGCCTAATAGCCGCAATTGACGCGCCTAATAGCCGCAATTGACGCGCCATAAAGCCGGAGTTGACGCGCCTAATAGCCGCAATTGACGCGCCATAAAGCCGGAGTTGACGCGCCTAATAGCCGCAATTGACGCGCCTAATAGCCGCAATTGACGCGCCATAAAGCCGGAGTTGACGCGCCTAATAGCCGCAATTGACGCGCCATAAAGCCGGAGTTGACGCGCCTAATAGCCGCAATTGACGCGCCTAATAGCCGCAATTGACGCGCCATAAAGCCGGAGTTGACGCGCCTAATAGCCGCAATTGACGCGCCTAATAGCCGCAATTGACGCGCCATAAAGCCGGAGTTGACGCGCCTAATAGCCGCAATTGACGCGCCATAAAGCCGGAGTTGACGCGCCTAATAGCCGCAATTGACGCGCCATAAAGCCGGAGTTGACGCGCCTAATAGCCGCAATTGACGCGCCATAAAGCCGGAGTTGACGCGCCTAATAGCCGCAATTGACGCACCATAAAGCCGGAGTTGACGCGCCTAATAGCCGCAATTGACGCGCCATAAAGCCGGAGTTGACGCGCCTAATAGCCGCAATTGACGCGCCATAAAGCCGGAGTTGACGCGCCTATTAGCCGCAATTGACGCGCAAAAAAGCCGGTGCTAATATTAAATATAGTTATGACAATTTAAAAAATATTTAATCGATTTCAAATACAAATTATGAAATAAATTTAGAATAAATAAAGTTAAAATCAAATACTAAATGTTGACATAAATCCGCAATTGACGCTCCATAGAGACATAATTCACATGAAAATACAAAACATTGATCCGGTGTAAAACAAATAAAGAACAAAAAAATAATTATTAATTATTAAATTATCAAACATTTAAATTTATTTATTTAAATCACAAAATAAATATTAAATTTTAAAAAAATAATCAAAATAAATATTATAAAATTATAATACAATTTTAAAGTCTAACATTAATACAATCGTCATTTGCACCAAATTTATCGCCAATAATATTGTTGCCATTGATCTCTCTGTCGTCTAATTTAATAATAATTGTATTGTGATTGTCGACAGCCGTTGCCGACCTCTTGATGGCGTCCGACAGGATTTTATCGGAACTGTCGGTTAAAATACGTTTCGATAGATTCAAAAACGGCGCCTCAAATACCAGATAACCAAATATTGATACAATCAAAGTGATCACTAATATACCCAAACCGATACATATCTGATAAAAAAAAGTTTTTATTAGTTTATTATACTTTTTTAATGTGTTAAATGATATTTGTAATTAAATGAATCATTTATATATCATTTAATATTAGTTAAAACAATTGATACAATGCTTACCAATTCAATGTCGCGATAAATAATAAGATCGCGTTTATGAAAATAGTAAAACCAAATAACTATTAAATTTAATAAATAAATTTGATAAGTTAGTCGACTTAATGGCAATAATTGCTTATTGGATAAAATTTTATTGACAATGCCTGTTAAAAATGAAAAAATCAAAAATTAATTATCAATAATTTATTTATAAATATTTATTTTTTATTTAAAAAAACCTCCTCTTTTATTGAGACATTCATTGAGTATCCAAGCGATTCCCGCAATAAATAAAATACGATGAAAACCATTGTATGCAACAGACAATGTCATCGATGGCTCGTTTTCTGATATTGTATTGTATAAACAGGTTATTATCAATGAAACCAAACTAATTAGCGGTAAAATACACCATAAGAATAGTTGAGATAACTGTAATAATTAATTATCAGATTTTTAGACATAAATATGATAATTGTTTTATTTTATTATCAACTTTTACTTACTAGACTTAATGTATAAATTTTTTGTTTTGTACTCAGATATACACCAATTGATACACCAATAAAATATGAAGAAAAATGATTAAATGGCAAATAATTTTTCAATCTTAAATCAGTTGCTATATCTCTGTATAAAAAAATTGAAAAACATATAAATAATTTATTTATAATAGAAATAGTTTTATTAATTTTGAATTTACCCAATAATTGGTTTATCAATGAATGAACTCTTAAGTGATAGTTTGTTGTAAAAAGTCATAAATATTGGAAATATAACTCCAATTATGATAAGCGATGTGCATATTATACGAAACAATTTTGGCTTATTATAAGTGATGAACAATACTATTAGTGAAATTAAATTGAGCTGAAAGTAGACGCTTATGAACCATAAGTGCGGCAAACACTATGAAAAAACATTATTCAAAAATAAAATTAACAATCAATTGTTACATTTGTGGCAACAAAATATAATTACAAGATTATTAAAGTTGTTTTCGGGTAACAAATTGCTTATTAATAGTAAACTTTGCCACCAATTGTGAGCGCAAGCGTCCCGGAGTCGTTCAGTACTTGAATTATAAACTGGTCCTCCGTTTGGTAGGACAGGCATTAGGAAAACCAGTGTCAACGGCAAGATAATGGGTGGCAATAGTCGTACCAAACGTTTTCCAATATATTTGGCAAAATTTAATCGTCTATTGGTTTTTGTTAAATATGTTGTCGTCGTGAAGGCGGTTAGGAAACCACTATAAACAATGAAAGACAATAAACAAAACAAAAAAAGTTAGTTTAATAATAAGTTATTTATACACAAAAAGTGTCGTAAATCATTGATTAGAATGAGAGAGAGAGAGAGAGAAAGAAAGAGAGAAAGAGAGAGAGGATGTGTTATAAATGGCAAATACCCGATGAGGAAGAATATCTGCGATGAGTTCCAACTGTTTAATATCAGTTGATAGGGAAGACTTTGGCCTCTAATGTTAAGCTCTGTTTGCATACTCTCTAGATTTTGTAAGAATTAATATATCAAACAATTTAAAGAAAATTATTATTATTAACAATAATACACTTTTTTTTTGTTTAAAATATTTGATTTTAAAAACAATTTTTTTTCTGCAAACAAGAAAACTCTTAATTAAGTACTTATAAGTGCTCTGATTTGTGGCTGATATCCAAACAAATAGACGTTTGCCATAACTATCCAAACGATTGCAATCACTTTTAAGCCATTGATTGATTGCAATTGTTTATCATTTTGTTTACACTTTAATGAATATAATTTTTTCAAATTACTAATCAATGAGAAACACATTATCATCGGTGCGCCAGTGCTTTCAATATCAATAGGTTTATCATTAAATAAATTGTAAAACAGTTCACAGCCAGTGGCCAAACCAACTAAGCCGCACATACCGCTGATAATGGCACTGATAGTTGCAAAATAACAAAAACAAAAAAATCATTGTAATAATTGTCTGAATTCATAAATTATATGAAAAAAAATTATGACTTACATTGAAATGATTGAGTAAAAGTCAAGTCTTTGAAATATTGTTTTGACAGTTATTTTCTCTCCCGTATAGCAATCACTGCCTAATTCAGCCTTTATTTGATATCTACTCAATGCTACAATTAAATTATCAAAACATTTATTATGTTTTTAAAAAATAATAATAATAAATTCAATTTTATAATATTCATAAAATATAATTATTAGTTAATAATTATATAAACATACAATGATTTAAAATCATGTTTATATCGTTGGCCTCACAATCTGATACAATGCAAACACCCAGTGAATAGACATTAGAGTAATAGTTATGGGCCAGGGATGTCAAGTGCTGTATATTCTGGACAATTTTATTATTATTATATATTTTATGTTATATAATAGTATAAACTTTTTAATAAATAAAACATTTACCGGATTATCAAGTGATGTATCGGTAAAGTTGAATAGTTTGTGTGAATACCGCAGATTAGGGGATAAGGGGGGCAATGGAGGTGTTATGCGTACCAAACAATACTTTCCGTTTAATTGTTTTTCACTTTCTGTATCCTCCAGATAGCCTCCAATGCATTGATCAAAGTTACCTAGATCAGCTAACGTTCCCTCTAATAGACCACTAGATACTAATTTTCCTGATGCATCTAAATCTATAATATAATTGAAAATACAAATTTAAAAAATACTATTAATTGCATGTAAATTAATTTAATTATTAAATATTTGATTTATTATTTTTTCATTGACTTGAAAAAATAGGAAAATAAATGAATCTATAAATAATAATATGTTCTAAAATATAATTTTCAATATATTATGTTTAATTTATTTATAATTTTTATTATTTTTTATATCATTAAAATTTGTTTGTATATTATTTTAGCAATTAATTGACAAATTAGTTATTTTAATAAAATAAAATAAAATATCTTATATGTTATGCTGTAATGGAAATATAATTTATTTAATAATATACAACTCATTGATTAAAATTATAATTAAGGAAAATCTTTCTCTAAATTATTATCTTGAGTCTTATAATGTATTTTTTTGTAGATACAATGGCATTCATTTTATTGTATATTTTCTAAACTTATTAAAAATATGTGTAATTTAGCTATTTTTATGACATTTATTTTTTCAAATTCAAAGATTGTGTTGTATTGTGATTAACTACTACTGTACATACTGTACAGTATATAATAACTATACATTAAATAATATTATATTTAGATATTACTAATCATGTATTATAAGTTATAGCATAAAATTAAAATAACAATTATCAATGAAACCCTTCAATTGAATTGTAATCAATAACTTACTATTGAATTTAACATTAAGTGTTTAAAAAAATAAAAATTTGTTTATCGCATATAAAAAATCATTAGTCGTGTCAAAAAAAAATGATGTTTTGAGATATTATTATTATTATTATTAAAACATTTTGTTTGACAGTATAAATAGCATTTATTATATACTGTAAATAAGCTTATATAGATATTTACAACATTTGCTAACTTACCTGACAACTTAAGCCTTTGTTATTTAAATTAAGTTTATTTTTTGAAAATAGATATAATCATTAATAAAAAAATTCATGTTAACCAATATACATAAGTCAAAAACATCACACATATTTAAAAAAAATAAAATTATACAATATATATATAAATAATAGGTTATGTTTGTACTACTTTTTTTTATTTAGTTAGAAAAATGTTTTGATACCACTTTTTTAAATAAAATTCTAAAAATAAAAACATTTTATCACTTTTATCGTTGTGTATCACTAAGTTTTCCAGTGATATGCATGATATGTATGATATTATATAACATTTGACTTTTATATAATATATAAAAAATAGCTTTTATAACCCATTTTTAACAAGTAGTGTAGCTTTGTTTGCATTGATTTTTTTAATTAGCATTTTTGTATTTCAAACTCTTTTTCTTCAAAATTATAAATATATTGTTAGAAAAAATAGTATTTCAAACGTGTAAACATTTGTAAATTTGCTTTCAATGTTAAATTCAATCAATTATACTTCAAAAAAATTATAGTATTGAATACAAAAATAAAATCAATCAATTTGTTGAGCAATTTGTCTTAATATGTTCATGTATTGCAAAACAAGTTTCTGTTATTTTATATTATTATTAAAAAAAATTATATGAACTACATTTCACTTTATTATTATTATTATGTTATTGTAATTAACAAAAATTATATAACACTATCAATAAACTAAAATCAAATGTAAATATTACAAAATCTATAACTATTTATGTAATTATTATTAATATTAAAATTATAGCATTCTTTGAATTACTGGTTGTCAATTAAATGATAAAAGTTTATAAATATCACTATTTTAAGTAATACCACTCCATGTGTTTAAAGATAAATAAATAACACAATTCTTACTTGAAATGTATAAAAATATTTTGTTAAAATCAGTACAAAATCATTAGAAAGTTAACAGATATCTCAGTGAAATATATTTCAAGCATTTGACAAACATGTTAAACATATTACAAATATGTTAAGCATTGTTAAAATTGAAATAAATTCATAGTATGGTACTTATCAACGACAACAACAAAATAACTAACACTTAATTAATACTTAATACTGTAAATACTGTATTACAGTATAACTTAATAATAGCATTGAAAATCTCTAAATGTAATAATTTTAATAGAAGTTAAAAAAAATTTAAGATAACATACATTTGACAGCTCTGTTATCAAACTTTTGTAGACGACTGGCCCAACGGGTCAAACCAATGAAACAATTTTGGGAAATGTGTTCACTTAAGATAAAACCGTATTCATTGAGAGCTGGCATCACTTTCTTGAACTCTTTATCCAACTCTTTGGACAATAATTGCCATAAAAAATCATATACTTTCTCGGGAGTCGAGTTTAGCGGTAATTCCTCATCAGTTGGTCCTTTGATAAGCAATTTGTCGAGAAGTTCGACATTATTGTCTTCACTATCATCTCCTGTATCGTCGTATTCAGTGTCCTCACTGTCTTCACTATCTTCACTATCTTCAGCACTGTTTTCAACTTCTTTATGATTATCTTCATTGGTATTAACTTTGAATTCAACTTCATTTGGTTTAACATCACTAGTAGTTTCAATCATCGATTTGTTAATAAACTCCACTTCAGACTCCGTGATTGTGACCACAGTTTCAGTTGTGATGAGAACTTCATCTTCTACTTCAACACCGTCTGTGGCAATAATACTGGTTGTGGACTCATTATGTGATAGACAATGTGAAGCCAGTAATAAACATAAACTAAATATCTTTATTACTGTTTTAACACACATTTTACTAGAAAATGAAACTTTTGCTCAAAACGAGTTGTCTGTTAAGCAAAACTTCAAAAATTGAGATTAGCTTTCCTTGAATACGAAAAGTTTATATTTTATTTTAATTTTTGTTTTGTTTATTGAATTCTCAAATATTATTGCTCAAGAAGTTTACTAATATCATAAATTAACGATAATATTGAAGAAACATATATAGAAAATATATTCACGCATATAATAAAAACTGGTATTCATAAAAAATTATTATAGTTTATGATTTACTAGAAATTTAGTAGTCAAACGTTTGGCTATAAATGGCATACAATTTATTATTATTATTATTAATATTAACTAAACTAATGTACTCAACAACAAACAATAAAAAACTAAGTAAACAATAATAACCAATAGATTTATGGCAATAAGTTTGCCAAATAAATTAGGCTTTTTTTAGTTGTGAACCAAAACTTAAGAGGAATGGTTTAAGTGGTCTAACTTTCCCTTATAATAGACAACTACTGTCAGTCTATCTCTATCTTTCCCTTTGGTTATATATTTGCTAATCTAATGGTCATAAAGTTTATTATAAGTTATATCCAGTCAAAGTATAGCGAGAGTAAAACCTAGTGAAGCCTACGAATGACTTCCCTTATAAGCTTACTATTTGATGTTGTTGTTGTTGTTGCCTAAACTACCAGTCCTTTTCATCAAAAAAGCAAGTCTACAAAAAACAAGTTATCACACCATCCATACAGACATCAATTTACTTAAAGCACTACTTGAGTGTCAACTTTGAAGGACAACAACACTACTATAGTATGCTATTGTCTACTATTTAATATAGAGAAAGACTGAGATGATATTATTTTTTTCCTAAACTCCATGTGCCGTACGACTGGGCACATATAGATTCCATTGACTGTATTGAACCAATGAGCCGCATCAACACCATAGTCCAACTAAAATACAATCATCCCATACACTACTGTATACAATCATCAAAACTTTCATTAAATCGAGAAAATAATAACAAAAATATAAAACTATTGTCACTTTTCAAGGACAGGGAGGTGTTATTTTTTATATAAAAAAGGCAAATGATTTTTTAAAAGCGTTTTTTTAAATAGTAAATAACGTTTAAAAACACATAAAAAATTTAGATTATCTCTTTTATATATATATATATATAACATAATAGCCTTACACTACTATAGATCTTATAAATACAGGTATATCAGGGATATTATTTGATGAGAAAGACCCCTCCTTTAGTATTGTGTCAGTAATGAAAAACATTGATATAAATTATTTTTAAGATTATAGTACTGTATATATACTGAATTATATAACATATATTTAAAGTACAATTTATTTAACTCAACAAAACGATATAAAAAATATGTTTAAAACCTTTTTATTCTGTTAGTAAATGCAAAAATGCAATGAACTCTACTGTATATACTTGTATATAATTTACTGTATATATCTATAAATAATAAAAACTTTAGATTATGATACTGTATATACTGTATAAAATAATTTACTTTAGATACTGTATAAAATAACAACAATGATAAATATCTTGCAAACATGACAATATAAAAAAATTTATTAAGATATCAAATTATTATATGATATATGTGTGTAAAAAAATTGTATGTTTTGTAGTGTTTTACAACAATAACAAAAAAAAATATTGATTGACTTATTGTTAAGAGAAAAATATACAATAATAAGTTTAGGAAATTAATGTATATCTTATTTTTGGTCATTTTCTTAGTAAATATCATATACTGAGACAAAAACATTTATATATTAATATTTACATATAATTTGTTTAATGTGTTGACCAAATAGTAATTGACGTCAATAACAAAGAATATTATTACTATTATAATATGTTGAGTTAGATATTAAAATGTGTGTATATATCAGGAAATATTTGTCAATTATATTTGCATATCAATTATTTTTAAAAAATTATATTATAGAAATACAATATATTAAAATAATACTATTTTTCCTTAACGATGATCTTACTTATTATAAATAATACTAATGTATTTAAATATTAAATATAAACTAATATATAAAATTTTGCTTGGTAAATAATTGTTAATAATTAAAAAATATGAATCATACATTATAATTACTGTAAAAAAATCATTTTTTAAAATAAATTTTTCACCAAAAAATTAATATGCAATTAACTTTTACTTATACAGTATAAAATCATTGAAAAATTAAAATTTAATAATAATATATATAGTATAAAATATTTTGTTTTATTGTTTTACAGTAAATCATTGATATAATAGAGATAATAAATACTAATCGTTAGTTAATTAATAAATAAAAATTGCATAGTACTGTATGTATTCAAAAATATTTAATTAAAAACAATGCACCTAAATATGATATGATATTATAACATATGGGGTATAAAAATAAAATATTTTGTATATTTATATAATTTCTAACTTCAACAACATTTATATAATATACAAAACAGTGTTTTTATCTTGATAATCATCGTAAATCATGTAGATTATACAACATTACAATAATATTTATAAAAGGCTTTACTCATATATCTATAAACTACTGTGAAATTTATCAATTGATAAAAAAAATTAAATTCATTATATAATATTAGTGACAACTTTTTTTATGAAAAAAAAACTAAAGTCTATATACAGTATTTATTATAATAACAATATCTGTAATAATAATATTTGTATATACAAAATAAAATTATATCTACTGTTGTATAATATTAATATACACACAGATCTATGATATCTATGCCAAATACAATATCAACATAACATGCGTGTAATGAAATTATTTATACAAATATTAATCAACTAATATATACGATATATATATATATATATAACAATATTAACAATTCACTGGTAAGGTATATGTTTGCTTAGATTATGGGCTATATTTTGCTTAAACCAGAAACAGAGATAACTAACTAACGCTATACTAAATCATACATTTTATTATTAAGTGGTATACAGTATTGTTGTGTCAAAACGATTTGTAAATTTATAATACTGTATAATTTGCTAATATTACACTATTGTATGTAAAAATAAAAAACTATACCCATATATTTATTTTTTTTGTGCTAATTATTTTTAAAATTTTACTTTATAATTACCAAAATTGCTTTTGATATTGCTAATTAAATTTTGTTAAATTACAGAAAAAAATATTTATGTTTATCATTGAATATAAAGCTAGAATATTCCGAATGATTGTAAATATTATAAAAAATATATTATAAGTTATTTATAATATTATCAAATAATAAATCTGCATTCATATATAATTACTATTAATTTATTTATTTTATGAAAACAATGCATTAAATTATTAATAGTGTTAAAAAACCATATAATTTATTTGAACTTTTTTATTATTATTATTATGCAAAAAATTGATATAATATAATTTATTGTAATATAAATAAGTTTATGTGACATTTCAAATATGTTGTGAAATTATATTTATATATAGATCTTGTTATATATATATATATATTTAAATGTGTATTTGTGTGCGATTTTTTTTACTATAAAGTTTATTATTATTATTATTATTACTGTATTTTCTGAGTATATGTTAAAAGTCAACCAATTATCACACATTTTTTCCAGTGCATTAAAATTGATAATAAAATAAAACTATTATATGATATACCAAACACCGATACGATCTCTCAAACTACTAAATAACTAAACAAAACAACTGATAAATTGTGGGAATCATCACATCATTCAATGGACAATCAAATCAATTGTTGTTATATAAGTATATATATATATACTATATATGTGGGACCTGTTTTTGGCAAAAAAAATAATAAAATAAACTAAGTTACAAAAATATTATCATTAAAATTAGTGCCAATTCATGAATTGTAGCAAAAAAATATTTTTTTTTCTATATATTAATATTGAAATATATAATAAACAACAATAAAACAAACAATAATATAACAAAACATTTTTTCCATTGAAAAACAACAGCAAAAAAAATGCATGACATTTAAAGCAATTTTTTTGTAATAATATACCTGTAATATACCTGCAAAACATTAATTATAGCAAATCATAAAACAGTAATACTGTACTACTTATTGTGTTTAACTTGATATGCAATTCAATGATAATATAATTTTAAAATTTTAATACATATATAGATACATACAGTAAGTGTTGTAAATAGTGTCTAATAGATGTCAATACAATAGTTTTGAATGTTTTAAGCTATGCTTTAAGCAATACATTGGGAGTACAATACTTTTCCATACAATACTACACTATATTTATGTGTATTATTAATACATAGACATAGAGTTGTGTTGATTATTGACAGACATATTATGTTATGTTAAATGATGTGCTGTTTTGTGTGTTTTTGCATTTATTTTCAATCAATGGATTGAATGCAACAACAATACAATGATTAACAACAAAAATAATGATAAATATAATTTTAATACAATTAATTTATTATTAAACATATAGTTATTGTGATATCAATGATCATCAATAATCTATACTCATATCTATTATTATTATTACGTAAATGAGTCACACGTTTTGAGTTATTTATTATTATTATTATTATTATGATATTATCGTAAAATAAAAATTAAAAAATAATAATAAATTATTATATATTTTTTAATTATACAAATCAGTGATTATATAAAATATATTCCTATATTTTGTTACAAGTGTTTAGCAATAATAAAAAGTTTATAATAATAATAATAATATAGTAATTATTATAATATAACTAATGTTACGATGAGTGATGAGCTGACGACCGGATCCGATGTCTTCAAGCGGTGTGTAATCATCCAAAAGGATGAAAGAGGTTATGGCCTTCGGGTTAGCGGAGAGTCGCCGGTGTTTGTCGAGAGTGTCAAAGAAGGTATGAGATGTGTTATATATTGTCCATTGTTTTGTGTTTGAAGACCACCCAAAATTGGTGACCAATTGTTTGAATAATGTTTAATTTTGTTTACCGTACAGGAGGTGCCGCGTGGCGGGCGGGCGTCCGTCCAGGAGACGAGATTATCAAAGTGTCTGGCACTTTGGTAACCCGTATGAATCACGGCGAAGTGGTCCGTATGATACAGAGCTGCGGCTCTTACGTTGGTCTTACTTTGCTGTCGCTGAAGAACCCGCCGCCATCCACAACAAACAATATGCAAGCGAAACCTATTCAGATTACAGGCCCGCAACCGGCCTCCGAAAGTACGCAACAGGCGTACGACGACAGGAAAATGGATATCTTTCGTGATATGATTAATAAACAACGAGAATATTTGGAAGAAATGATAGCCAAAAGAAACCAAACGGAAATCGATAAGACATTGAAGACTATCAAACATTTGGAAAAAGAGATCGAAAAGATGACATTAGACGCCCAACGACATCGACACACATCGATGAGTGCCGAAAACTTGACCACCGGTAGCACCAGTGACCCGACAATAGTCTCTGCTGCTAACGGTAATGCCAAGAAATCGCACTCATTTGGTCAGTACGATACACGGGCGCCGATTATGACGATGGAGTCCGACGAAGACAACGATGACTATACCAATAATAATAATAAAAACAACAGCTTTAATGTTGTCATTAATAACTCGAATAACAGAAGAAATAGTAATTTGTTGATTAACCAGAAAAGCAAATATCCGGATATCAACGAAATCCCTAAAACTGTGGACCAACTCCACGGTTACAGTCTTCAGATGACACGTTTTCTGTTGACACAAGACCTTAAACCCCATGCATTACTCTTTCATACCATTGCTGGACACGTATTTCCATTGTTGGTCGCACAGATGGGTCCCTACAATCAGAAGGCCATCCAACGACTTGCCTGGCAGATCGCGTCCACGTGGCTGATGCACGAATCGCCGCTCACATTCGCCGATTTTCCGCCCGAATTGATCGACCGTTTCGGTTTGACATTAGAGTCATCGCAACAATCTTTGGACACACTGTTTGAGCCATTTTTCGGTGTTACACGTGATATCCTTAAGGAACAGTTAGAGTCATGGCGTCATACCATCAACTTGGGTCTGGCGCCGCCTACGATGCCGACGGCCAAAGAAGAGCTTCACGCCATACTTGACTTAGTGTTGAACGAGTCGACCTCAATTCGCGAGCTTGAAGTGGTGGTCGATTCCTTCATACAACACGCCAACGTCAACAACACATCGACGATGGCTGTGGTAACGGCACTCTTAACCATTGGTCACTGTGTGTTTGCGTGTCACACAAAACATCTACTCTTCACACAAGCAAATTCGTCTCAACCAATTAATCCAGTGCTAAAGTTATCTATGGATCAATCAAATAAGAAACACAAGAGAGCCGTCTCTCTTCAGAACCGAAATCAAATGCCGGGTCATATAGAGGCCGGCCATCACTTTAATCCGACGTACGAGTTCACGAAACCGATTTTTTGTTACGGCTGCTACTCACCCGTTTGGGGCACATATGGTCTTAATTGTGCACATTGTCAGATGTCTGTCCATAACTGGTGCATGAAGAGCACGTCATCAACTAATCCGTGTCCCGGACCTCAATCAGACAATCAGTCGAATAGTGAGACCACGCCATCCGTTAGGGTGCCCAAGAAGAACAGGCGCTGGAATTCTGACAGATATACCTTTTTAGATATGATTAAGAAGATTGCGCCCAACAATGCTTATGACATACATGCGCCGCCACTCATCTCCTCGTCCGACGATTCATCCGATGACGAGGACGACGACAACACGTAAGAGCCGTCACTTTTTGTTTGACTAGTCGTTAGACACGCACTTCATCTCCAATACATTCATATCCTTTTTATTTGCAAATACAGTATACCTCTGTTTGTCTCTCTATTTCTTTCTATATATTAAATAAAGCTTTTTTTAGTTCTCTAAAACTAAAGCTTAACCATCAAAATCACATGTCGTTCCCAAATTCAGAGTAATCTATTAATTTATTTATATTAGTTTATTATAATTGTTAACAGTTTATCGATTGTATGATTTGCAAAAATATATTTTTAATTATATTTTTCCTCATTAATCCACTTTATGCTAAATCTTTGACTTTTTGTATTCACTGATCATTTGTTTCAATTAAATAAACTAATGATATTTATGTGTTAATTGATTGCATCAGATCTGGACTGACACCGCAGCCATTGCCTTCAGCAACAAGTGATACATCAGCCTCCAAGTCGACGACACCGACGCCTCCCAGCACTATAGGGCGATCCGAATCGTTTAAACAACGGGTATGTCATATAAATACATATTTTATATTGCAAGCCTACCCTACCTTATGATTATTATGTCATCAGCTTAATGTGCTTTAATTGAATGCATAAATTAGTGTAAATGTAATGTTTTAATATTGGATTTTATGGTTAGGACAGTAGTAAAAGACAAAGCTATTGATGATATTTATTGGCAATTATCTGAAATTTGACAAAAAATAGTACAAACGTATAGGTCGTTGGCTTTCGTTTAATAAATATATATAATATATATATAAAATTAAAAGCCTATCTCTCATCTCATTTGCTTCTAATAACAACTACCTCCCGGCGCTCAGCACGCGATCGCAATAAACAATATCCCTTTCCATTTACTCGATGACATCCCCATTTGTTATATAGATAGTTATTGTAGTTTTTTTGTTTTTATTTTATTTTTTATGTCCCTAAAAGACAATTTATTTTATCTGTAGTTGTATTGAACCAAATATTTGTTATACTGTAATATGTAATGACATGTTTGTTACAATATATTTCTGTTTTCTCAATATTAGCGAAAAACTGTTCCCTCGTATCGTAAACGCAGTGATCCGGCACTGCCTATAAGTAACACAAATCTGGCCAACAATAGTGTAGCGCAAGACCCGAACAGCAGTTCTCCGGGTGTGACTGGTTCGCCAACATCGACATCGCCGGGCAATTGGGAAGACTCGTCAACAGACGATGACGACGATCAGAGCCATAGCGATGTGCACAGCATTCAGACCCCAACCACTGGATCAGTGACACCGCAACATACCATTGATGATGATTCGCAGCAACCGATTCTCGATGACGATACACCACCACCATTGCCACCCCGTCCGCCATCGGAGAAGCGCAGACAGATTCGCAACGAGATTATTGACTCTGAGGGCCGACACGTTAAAGCCTTAGACTTTATTCATCAACTATACTATAAACCAATCAAAAGTCAAAATCTTATGACTAAAGATCAATTGTCGGCCGTCTTCTCCAATACCAAAAAACTATATAAAATACATAAAAATATTTTGAAAGCGCTTAAAGCGCCGCAACAGTCATTCGAGCAATCAATTTGTGATGTATTTTGTGGTCCATTAGGACAGCATTTAGAGGAAGAGGCCAGTGTTTTCTGTACCACACAGAAGTTGGTTGGTGTCGATACCTGGAGGTCTCGTAAAAAGGATTCAAAAATGAAGACAATTGTCGATAACGATCTACGATCGAAATTATTAGCTGAATCCGGTTCGGAATTTGCAAGACTTACACTCGAAGATCTTTTAGGATCAGTTTTCCAGAGACCATTGAGATATCAACTGCTACTCGAGCGCTTACTTCAGGCCACGCCATCCGATTCAATTGAATATCAATTGATAGCCAGAGCTCTTACTCGAAGTCGTGAAATCGGAGCCAAAGTCAATGAAGAGACACGAAAGGCGGAATCGAGACAACGACTCATAGACATCGAGAGAAAGACTGAAAGGGCGCCCGGATTTATACTTGACTTGGCTGACCATAGTCTTGTACACGAAGGACCTCTTGCCTGGAGAATCACCAAACAAAAGAGCGTCGATATACTGTTGGTCCTTACGAACAGAATTCTAGTGATATTAACACAAAAAGATAACTCAAAAGACAAATTTGTCTTAAAATCGCATACAAATCCGGCTAACAATACATTACATTCACCCATTGTCTTATTGGACGACGTGATTACACGGGATGTGGCCACCGATCAGACTGCCTTTTTCCTTATTTCCACAGATCATCACGTGTTTTACGAATTTTCTGCGGCCAACCCGAACGAGAAGAAACAGTGGAGAGACCTTATATTAAGTACTGCGTCGATGTTTAACGCAAATAAACCCAAAGTAATGAAAATGAAAGACTTGACGACACAGCAGAGCACTGATGAAGAGTTCAAACAAAATGATGAGGAAGAGGAGGAACGGGATGCTGAACAACATGAGGATAATGTCGTCAATGATGACCAAAATAATAACAATAATAATACCGATAATGATATTAGTGTTGAAACTGAAAGTCAATCAAAAGATCAATTAGATGAACAACAAAAGCAATCGAAAATTGAAGGAACCATACGTTATGTACGCGAAGATGAGTGTCGACCACCGGAACTCATATCTCCGACTCAGGTTACGGTCTCCACTGAGCCCAACGTTGCCGAAGCACTGGTCATTCATTCACCTGAACACCGAATTTGTGAAATCGATGAATCAATTAAACAATTATTGGATGAAAAACGAAATATTTTAGCGAATTTAAGAGGTTTTATCATTAGTTATATCATTTTATAAATTTAATTATTGATTTATAATAATTAGGTATTAAAGGTGAATACGAGTGGACAGTGGTTAGCGATATGGGTGAACACGATCACGTGTCCAGTAGTGCACGTGAGGTGACGTTTTTTGATAGAGGTATTGATTATGTCATTCAAATTGTTGATTCAAACATTTTAATTATAAACTATTTATTTTCATTTATTAACCATTAAAACAGCGATGTCTTTGGTGTCATCACTGGGCACTAATGGCTTAACTTCCGACTCATACGCACCGTTAGTTAGTCTTCGCGATCAAATCGACGCACTATTAGCCCGACTAACGCTCAGCCAAATAGAATCCGATGTCCGTCTGACAGCTACCGACGGCGCCGCCAACTATTTGGCGTCCAATGAGAGCACTGAAGATACGGCCGTTTACTTCTAAAATATACAAATTAAATGAAAGAAGTCCTAAAAAACTATATGACATTATTATAATTTAAAAATTGTATATATTTTTTATTTTTATTTTATTTTACTGTTGATAATTGAAAATATTTTTTCATCCACTAAATTAATTAATTAAATTACAATTAATTTTATTGTTCGACATTATGCGATGCCTATAATTATTAGCATTATTTTTAATATAAACAAAAATATTAATAAAGTTTAAGTCCACAAACTATAGTTGTTTTATGGCCACAAAATATATAGATCATCAACACATGGAAAACAAGTAGAGTGTCTGTCCATAAAATGAGGCCATAAGTATGTCCGTAAAGTTTTTATCACAATTTAAACCATAAATCAAATGGTTTTCATTGCCAAACGTATCCGACGGTTCCAAAGTTTGGACAACTTTATGATCGCAGACCAGATGTGCGCCCGAATACATACCGGACACCAAATGGCGATTTGGTTGATCTTTTTGTACAATTATCCTCCAAATACCACTTCCAGGTATATGTAGTTTATATTTCAATAATACACTCAACTGTAGACACTCACCGGTTATATCATCTGTGATGTAGTCAATGTCATAATAGCGGATAAACTCATCATAAGAGCCGACAATTAGTGATAAGCTGTTGTCTGAAGAATTATTTGTTGCAAAACTTGTGACACCAGCCGTCGGATCTTTGTTAACATACAGAGGTGTCAATTGAGTAAACACTTCGGTAATGTTTGGCAAACATTTTGCGGTCAGACAATAGGCTCTCCATTTGGAGTCATCTGAGCCGACAAACAACACATAATTATTATTAAGTCTAACGTTAAACAATGTCCACACGGGTTCACCAAATTTAGTTACCGATAATTGTCTAACAACTGACTGGTCATCAGTCAAGTGGACTATAGATAACTTTCCGTCAGAATCTCCAGTAATTGCTAATTCATTATCAGAAATAGTGGTCAAACACGTCAACAATTTAGATTCGGTGACAAAACGTCTTATAAGTTGAAACTTGTGGTCACTATCAATATTGTCCACACAATAGATGGCCACCGATCCATTGGCGTGTGCGACAAGTGGACAGTCGTCTCGGGAATCATATCGGATGAGTCTAAGATCGAAAACACCGCCGTCCGGACACTCAAAGTCGCTAATTAATTGGTTACTTCGGGTGATTAGCCCCAAACTACCGAAACGATTGTTGATTCGGGCGAGTGTCTGGTCATTGTCGCCGGCGGACTGGTCTTCGCAGAGCTGATACGTACCACAAATAAACAATTGATAGGTATGTGAATACTCGATGACCGACGGGTTATATCTTATAGTTATTTCATTAATAAATTTGTAATTCATTTGATTGATTGAAAAAAAAACAAAATTTTTGATCACTTTTTTGGTGACAAAACGTGTCTTTTAATGTCAATACAAACACATCTGAGTTGCCATCTGTTGGACCAAACATTGTGTGTGAATGTGTTGGCAGTGATTGTATAAATGCTGACTAGTATTGAATTAATAATAGAGTACTTATTATATAATAATTGTAAATTCCTATCAAAAATAAAATCTAAAATTTATTATCTTATTGTTAGTTATCATTGCATTTAAAAATTTGTTGCAATCATTAAATGAAATATTTAATGATTTTTATTTGTTATATATTTCTAGGAAATACCGATGATTTAAAAGTTTGTTAGTTTTTTTTATTAAAAAAAACATTAAATATTTTGTCAATCTATTGAATTTTAATTTATAAGCTTTAAATTTATTTTATCATTTGTATATTAATTTATTTGTTTTATATACTGTGTAATATTTGTTATGAGTGATAATCTTATTTTTATAGTCAAGTAATTGCACATATATTTAGATTATGTGACAAAAAAATTATTTTTAAAACAATTTTAAATCATATATTAATTTTCATATATTAAAAACATATTTGTATTTTTGATTATATCATATAAAACAAGCTATTTTATCATATAGTTATTGTTGTTTTTAACAAATTAATTAAAATATTTTCCCACAAATTATTATAATACAAAACAGGATATACTTAAAAATGACATTTCGACAAAAAATATTGAATGAATAAGTGGACAGTTGTTAGCGAAATGGTTATTTGCCATACATAAGGCGCTTTTTGTAGTCGGAGTCCAACTCAACCTTCATATTCTTCCCAAAAAGTAGACCACTGTCGGCTACTTGTACGCCAATTATCCCGAACTTGCAGTGCAATTCACCGAAGACATCCCTTGAATGTACGTGAAGTACCTTCTGATGAGACTTATTCCAGAACACATTCCAGGAACCACTCAGTGGTAACCTAATAAAAATAATATAAAATGTTACCATCGATTAATATAACGAGTAAACCGTTCTCATTATTGGACTTCAAATCCGAACATTTGGCCGAACAGATGACACTTATGGACTCTGAACTCTTCCTCAAGATTGAGGTAACCATTGATTTCATAAATTTAAATATTTATAGGAAATCATAAATTTAATCTTATTTATAAAAATAGATAAAAATAAATTATATTTATAGAAATCTATCGAAATTTTATCAATACTTATCAAATATTAAATATAAATTTATATCTGTATATATATTTTTAAAGTTTTGTAATATGTTTTGAAAGAAAAAAACAATTTTCTAATATAATATAAGTTTTCCTTGTTTATTTATAAATATAACCCAATTTGTTTTTTAAAACATGCAATATTAAAGGTATATTTTAAGTAAAAGTTTGCATAAAATGCCTTAAACTTGAATTTTTTAAAAATCCAATACACATAATATGCAAAATAAGTTAATATGCATTTAAATTGTTTTTTTTACTACAAATATATGTTAAAGTATATCACCTGAGATTTAGTTCATTGATATTCACACACAATTCATTAGTTTATCTTTTAAAAACATTATATGTATACATAGAAAAAAAATTGTTTGACTGCTGAATAAGCAATGAATGAATGGATGAAATAACATAATACCTAAACGTATTGTTTTTTAATGAAATTCAATGATTTGCACAACAGATACCAGAAGTGTTGGTTTGGGCTAAAGAACAAAAAGAAGAACTGATTCCCAATTTGAATACATTTACCGAACACTTCAATAACATGTCTTATTGGACGCGTTCACGAATTCTCGATGAAAAAGAGGCCAAAGAAAGGGAACGACTGGTTCTTAAGTTTATTAAAATAATGAAACACTTAAGAAAACTGTCAAATTTTAACTCATATTTGGCTATACTGTCGGCACTGGACTCGGCGCCCATCCGACGGCTTGAATGGCAGAGAAATATCACTGAAAATATCAAAGAGTACAGCGCTCTCATCGAATGAATGGATGAAATAACATAATACCTAAACGTATAGTTAATTACATACCCCTTAGCTTTTTTGGGGTCTTTCTGATGCAGATTACTTCTTATCTGTTCCTGAAATTCATCGGTGAAGTTATCCTTGAAGATGAACTCATTGGACGGATCGTCTACTTTCTTAAGTCTTGCCGTACGGACGATAGTTTTCTCGATTATGGCCTTCTCCATAATATCTATATTCGGATCCCAATTCTTGGAAATGAACTTAATCTATAATTAAATAATAATGATTACACAACGCTTGAAGACATCGGATCCGGTCGTCAGCTCATCACTCATCGTAACATTAGTAATATTATAATGTAATTATAAATACCATCTTTGGTTTCTCCGCCATTAAAAATTAAATCCAAGTGATGACAGTGATGACAATGATGACAGTGATGACAATGATGACAGTGATGACAATGATGACAGTGATGACAGTGATGACAGTGCTGGCAGCGGAAAAGGATAATATGCAATAGCAATTGGCGCCAAAATATTAATAATGTAGTATTGTATGGAAAAGTATTGTACTCCCAATGTATTGCTTAAAGCATAGCTTAAAACATTCAATACTATTGTATTGACATCTATTAGACACTATTTACAACACTTACTGTATGTATCTATATATGTATTAAAATTTTAAAATTATATTATCATTGAATTGCATATCAAGTTAAACACAATAAGTAGTACAGTATTACTGTTTTATGATTTGCTATAATAATTTATAATTAATTTATTTATTTTTGTTGTTATTAGAAAATTCCTAATTTGTATGTTTAAAATCAAAAAATATTAGTATAACTCCTATAGTATTAATATGATATCTACAGTACTGTAGTGATAGTCCCCCCCAACCGGGCGCTACAAAACATAACACTGTATGCGAATGAGTCACAAATATATACACAAATATAATATTTATTAATAGAGATACACAGTATGTGTATTGTGTTGCCATTGGTTACGTCAGTAGTGCTGACCTTTTTTTATCATTGCATCGATGATTGCAATACTCTGAGAGAGAGAGAGTGATAGTGTTGTAGTAGTAGTTACTGTTGAACAGTGTATGTGTACTATTCATTGACTGTATTGTATGTATTAGAGAAAATCCAATGTATTAGTACAACAACAGTGTATATGTGTATGTGTTGTATGAGTGGAAGCGCATAGTGTTATGCATAGTGTTTACAATAATACAGTATTAGACTCTCACTGACTCAGACTTACAGTCACTCATACATACATTGATAGCCAATTGAATAGCTGTGCGACAGTCAGTCAGTCAGTACTCGTGATTACCAAACGTGAGCACAAAATATATGCACATATATTGACAGTCTATGTGTATGTGTTTGGACTCATCCATACAGTTATGTGATTGACTGTCACTCACACACATACACAACAAATATAAGTTAGTGATATTATGAGTGATAATCTAATTTTTATAGTCATGTTTTTATCAAATTGATTATTATTATTATTAACATAAAGTAATGTGTATTTGTATATTTCATTATTTAAGCTTTAGATTTAATATATTTATTATTGTAGATAAATTCAATTGTTTTGTTTATAAGATATACTATATTATTCAAACATTGCACAAACACACACACATACACACAGTAGTAATAAAATTATAAAAAATATACTGATCATTTGGCATTGGCAACAAATTTTAAATGCAATGATAACTAACAATAAGATAATAAATTTTAGATTTTATTTTTGATAGGAATTTACAATTATTATATAATAAGTACTCTATTATTAATTCAATACTAGTCAGCATTTATATATATAATGTAATATTAATTGAAGTTAACTTTTAAGTTCATACGTAAATAAGTATAAACTCTTATGCGATAAATGTTTAAATAATTTTATCAATTATTACTTTTGTTACATTCAATCAATTTTTATCTAAAAATCTTGAAATATAAGTTTATTAAAACACATAAATATATTAAATCAATGCCTTATTTGTTTTAATAGTTATTTTTACGCAACTAATATTTTGTTTCATTCAATAAAAACAGATTTAATATTTATTAATGCTTTCAAATGATATTAAACGCTTGAAAGCTAAGTTTTAGTATTTAAAATATTAAATATTTTAGTTATTAATATAATACAAAACAGGATATACTTAAAAATGACATTTCGACAGAAAATATTGAATGCATTAAACTGAATAAAAGAAATATAAAGTATAATAGTATATAATTTATATAAACTTTAATAAACTCACCTAAAAATAGCAATTTTCTATGAAAAACGCATATTTATGAGTATAATTGAAAGTAATTATTTTGATTATATAATTTTAATATAAAGCAATAACAGATGCGTTTATTTTTAGAGATTCAAATTTTTGTCATTTAATAAATACATTATTATTTTTTAATATATATATTCTAGTTATTCTATTTATTTATAAATATATTAAAAATATTTGTAATATAATACTCATCAACTTTGGCAAAATATTCATATCTTTATTTAACTAAATTTAATTATTTATTTAATATAATTTGCTTGTCGAAATTTATGTTGTTGCTATTAATGTGATTATTTGAAAACATTTCAAAAATGTTTGTACATTTGTTTGCTAAATATAAGTGGTATTATGTTTCATTTTTTTTTGTTTTGTATTTAGACATATAGCTATCCTAATTGAACGCTGATTTTTAGTTTATAAATTATAAACATATTTTTTCATTAATTATTACTTCAATTCAATAAAACGCACATTATGTCTATAGACTTATTTACTATTTATTTTGTTTGATTTTAATGTCATTTCTTGTTTTTCAAAACTTCAATTATATATATATATATATAATTTACGGTACAATATATATATTGGTTACATAGAGATAATAATAATAAATGACCAGTGATTGATTAGTTTGCTTTTTAAAAAATTGTTAACCATTTTATTTGCAAATTTCATAAAATGTAAATCCCTTATTTGTTTAGTTCAATTTAAAACCAATGTCTTGTATTTCATTTATGTTAAAAACAAATATAAATTTAGTTATACTGTAATATTGAAAAGTAAATTTAATTATATACTATTTATGATTCATGGCATTGATATTTATCAACTATCAATATTTGTTATACTACTTCTACTACTATAATGAGAGGTTAGTTTATATGATAACATATTTTTATTTAAATAACTTAACTAATTATAAAATTAATTGATATTTATGGTTAAATTTAGTATTAGTTATAGACAATTATTATTATTAATAATTAAAGTAAATTATTATTATTAGTCATTTAAATTTTTGATATTATTAAAGCTTTAATTTTAAATAAATATTTTAATTTCTAATTTATCAATTTTTTATTACTACACTAGTTTTAATTTAAAAAAATTTTGTTTTTATAGTTTAAGTTTAATGTAATATAAGTTTAATATTAAATATTTTAGTTATTAATATAATACAAAACAGGATAATTAATTGATTGATTAAATAAATTGAAATAAATTTGTATTTTTTTGAAAATAAAAAATAACTATTGATTCATAACTATTGGTAATTATTAATATTATTTTTAAAAAATATTTACTTACTTTTATTATTATTATTGTAAATCATGTTTATAATCAAGGTAATGTTATTAATTAATTATTTTTTTAATTATATTTATGAACTTGGTAATTATTTTTTATAATGTATATTAAAAAACTATTTTTTTAATTATATTTATGAACTTGGTAAATTATTTTTTATAATGGATATTAAAAAACTATTTTTTAATTATATTTATGAACTTGGTAAATTATTTTTTATATATATTTAAAAAACTATTTTTAATTTTTTTTTAAATATTTTTTAAACTGCTTGCCATTTAAAAAATGAAATACTAATAAATAATAAAAAAAATTATCTAATATTTTACTGTATATTGTGTTCTATTGAAATACAGTACAGTATATATCTATGCATTAATATTGAGTCATTATTTAATATTATTGACTTAGAGGTCAAGTATTAATGACTCAATATTTGCATCATTTAGAGTATAAATACTGCAATAGTAGACATATATATATATCACGTGATTATATACCGTACACTACAGTACAGTATATGGACTATACATTAGATTGCATTACATTTGTGTAATATATTTATTATTATAATTGATTTATATATCATATGATTGCTATAATAAATTGACTTTAAATTAGTCCAATACTTATGACTTAACAAACAGTTTAGAAATATCTATAAGATATATATCATAAATAAATGTATAGTAATTGTTAATACAATTCAATATAAATATTGCTTTTATACAGTAAAAGGAAATAATTAAAAACAATTAGCATATAATATCAACAATTTAATAGTAATAATATGAAAATATAGTATTATTTATACTAATAGTTATTATTAGAGTATTATTGCACCGGATTTGACACAAATAAAAAAAATATAAATATATTTCAGAAAAACTTTCTTAATTTGATAACTTTTTTTATATACATAGAAAATTTTATACAAAAATTATTAATATTACTATTTTTTTTATTAATTATTGACAGTATAGGTTATAATTTATTTATTGTTAACTATTATATAATTTTTGAAAAGTATTCAAAAAATTATATTTTATTAATATTAAAAAATATTAATTATTAAAAAAAATATATTTATATATTCATTTATCTATCAAATATTTATTAATCTATTATATATTTTACTACTCATTCTCATCATTATAAATAATGACAACAAAAATGTCTAAACATTTGTAAATTTTTTTTAGTTAAACTTTATAAAAATATATATATGAAAATATCTAATCAAAAAAATATATTTAGTTTACATATAAATATAAAAAATAGGATGAACTACCCATAAAGTTATTTGAGATATAAATATATATTCAAGTCTACAAATATTTTACAATTTATTATGATTTGTTAATTAAAATTATGTATTTAAATATTATATAAATTATACTAAATATTGATATATCTCTATAATAATTATCAATATTACAGTATATAAGCCAATAATTTTATTTATAATTTTATCTCTTATTATTTGGTTTTATGCTTAAAATATAATTACTTTTCACGTTTAGATTGTTGTTAAAAAAATTTTAGTTTTATATTATTTACACATAAAATGTTAAAAAGTTTTGAAAAATGTTTTTTTTATTTTGAAAATATTGTGAATTATTTTGTTTGTATGAAAACATATATCATATGTCATATTTTTTTAAAATAAAAGTTTTAGTTTTTTTAATTTTAAGATTTACTAATAAATTTATAATAGTAGTAATAATAATAATAAATTTTATATACTATACATATATGTAATTATTATTATATTATTATTAATAATAAATAACTATTGAATTAAATAATAATATAAATTGTCTAATAATAATCATCAGAATAATTGCTGGAAAGTAGCCAAAGGAATGATAGATTCTGGATGTGATGGATGTGACGGTTGGTTATTATACTCGAGACTACTGCCGGTGTGACTATGATTATCATTTGGCGACAGTGTCGGTGACGGAGACGAGAACGGACGGGTCGAGCCATTGGGACTACCGATGCCCGTCGATGGCGTCGACGGATGGATTAACAGAGACTGATTGCCACCTAAATTGATGTCCTGACCGTCCGGTAGCTTAAGATTATTGCGCCTCCACTTTGCTCTTGCATTTTGAAACCAAACCTATAAATATATATATATTTAAATTTATTGTCAATTTAAAAATATATTAAATTATAATATTAAATAATTATTGCATTTGTAAAAATATTTTTTTTAACTTATTTTTATTTAATAAAAATAATATAATATATTTAATTAAATTTTTGGTTTTAGCAAAACTTTGTTTTGTAAACACTTAAAAAACTTAGATATTTTTAAATTTCATATAATCTAATAAAATATAATATAGTATTATAAAATAGTAGTTTATTTAATTATATAAGATATATAAATAAAAAAATATAATATAATATAATATAAATAAATAAATTGAAAATTTATGATATTGTGATACAAGTTTTGTTAACATCATTATCACTACCAAATTATTTATATATAAAAAAGTTTGCAGAAAAATAAATTTAGTAAAACAAACAACAGTATAACTAAAACATTGAGTTGCCATCTGTTGGACCAAACATTGTGTGTGAATATGTTGGCAGTGATTGTCGTCAGACGTCATACAAGTCTTTACTGTTATTATTGTTGTTATTGTTGTCGTCGTTTCGTTTGTTATAATCATTAATTGATTTCAATTTACTAAACAATCAGTGGTTTTATCAATGATATAAAGAATTGAATTGTTTTTTAGTTTCATTTATAACAATGAGTGCAACCGCCGGATCATCGGCCAGCACTTCGGCGGTCACCGACAAACGGGCCGAACGTATGAAACGTTTACGTGAATTACATCAAAAACGGGTATGTCTTTGGATCAGTTGTTTGATATTTATTTAGAAATTAATTACCATTTTTTTCAATTACTAAGAACGAGGCGAGTGTTTTGAACCATAAAGAAGTGGTCGAAGAAAATAAAAGATTTCAATTGCCCGACAATTGGCAGAAGAAACAAGAGGTGGCACAGTATAGGCTGAATGAAGAGTTGGCCAAAGATAAGGCCCGCGAAATAGGAGAAGACTACGAACGAAACAAATTATTGGATATACAGGCGGATGACTCGGAACGTTGGCACCGAAAACGTGACGCCAAACACAATCCCGATCCGGGTTTCAGTGACTTTGAAGCGGCCACTGCTCGACAATACAATAGACTGACCAAACAAATGAAACCCGATTTAGAGGAATATCAGAGAAATAAAGAAAAGATGGGCAAAGACTTGTTTTATGCCAATCAGAATACACTGATTCACGGACAGCATAAAGATTCAAAAGAAGCCATCGATAGGATGGTCGACGACCTCAACAATCAAATTGAAAAGAGATCCAAATATAGCCGACGGCGACGTTTTGATGACGACGCGGACATCGATTATATTAATGAAAGAAATATGAAATTCAACAAAAAGTTGGACCGATTTTATGGACAATACACTCAAGAGATCAAACAAAATCTCGAAAGAGGAACAGCTGTTTAAATATACAATATACCATTGCTTACTATTTGTTGCTTTTTGAGCTATTCATGAAAAAACCAATAATAAAATTAATTAAAAAAAACATTTGTTTTTACTTTGAATTGACACTTGTATTGAAATTTTCATATCTGTTTAAATCCTTTACCAGTAATACAGTTGTGTTTGTAATTTATGAATAAATTCTTGAGATTTTCTAAGTTTTCATTTACCGGTAAATAATAAATCAATTGTCTATAAAATTGAAAACAATATTTTCAAATAAACAATAATATTATCTTAATTATTATAAAATTATTTAAATCTATTAAATTGTTTATGAGATATTAAATGATTAAACATATAATGTTTGATACCCAGTGTAGGTGTATATAGTGTATATAAATTATATTATAATACAGTATTAGATAAGTTTTTGTTTTGTAAAATAATCTATTAATAAATATTTTGACAAAAATATATTTTTAAAAACCTTTTAATAGTGTTTTTTTATTATTTTTATAAGAGATTATATTTGATATTTAATTTGGTTTATGTCTGTAAATAAAGTTTTAGATTTTTATTATAAGTTATTAAACATTTAGCGATACTATTAGTTTTTTATCCAGTGTTTTGTTGTCTATATATAACTATTAATAACAACAAAATTATTAGCCTATCTATTGTTTTATTATTATTATGTGTTTCTTTGAATTTTGTTTGTTTTTGATGTCTTTTTCACTATTTTTGTTCAACACATGGATAAGTATTTTCAATGAAATCAATAGTAGTAGTAGTATTTGAAGCGAAATACTTATTGACATTTAAAATATACAGAAAAAATAAAATCTTTTTTTACGAGTGTATGAATAACAATGGATTTATTTGTTTGTTATTTAAAATATACAGTAATTTCTATAAAATATATATATATAATATGTGTTGGCGTTTAACTAGAAAAGAGTTATACACAAAAAAAAGACAACAAAATAAATCCATTTATTTTCTAAACATATTCTTAATTGAATTAAATAAATATTTTATATTTAAAATAAAATTCAATCCCATTTATATTATAAAAATTCTATTTTTAAATAAAAAGTTATTACAAAACAATACAACAAAATTTACGAAAATACAACCAAAAAAAAAAAACAAATAAAATTTTTCTATAATTTAATTTATTATTTTCATTAAACATTTAAAACAATTGTTAACATCAATCTTACAAAATTTTTTTAAAATTAATTTCTAGATAATTGAATAATAATAATAAAAATAGTTAAAATTACTTAAATTAATTAGAAAACAGTTGCCTTGTAACATTTTTATTTTATTTTATTAATTTAATTCATACAACACAACAAATTGTAATAAAATATAGATATTTTAATATAATGTAACCTAGGCAATTTTTAATTATTTTTATTTAATTAATTACTTAATTTTTGTTGTTATTAGAAAATTCCTAATTTGTATGTTTAAAATCAAAAAATATTAGTATAACTCCTATAGTATTAATATGATATCTACTGTAGTGATAGTCCCCCCCAACCGGGCGCTACAAAACATAACACTGTATGCGAATGAGTCACAAATATATACACAAATATTTATTAATAGAGATCAGGGTTTTAAAAATGGCAGGCATAAACAATAGATGCCAATTTTGCCAAATGCCTGCCCTGCCTCTGCCATGCCCTGGGCATTTATTTTCAGGTGGTGACACCTATTATTTTAATTTTATATTATTAATTAATTTATAAAACATTGTTTTTATAATATATTTGCTTGTATTTTTGTTTTGTATACCTTTAATTAAAAGGTAATATCATTGGAAATAAGTAAATTAATTGTAAATTTAATTAACACGTTAAAACACTAAATTACATTATTCTTATAAATACAGTTGCTTTTTAGCAATTTAAATTGGCAGGCAAATAAAATAGATGCCCAAAATGCCAGGCATTTATGGCATCTATTTGGGCATTGCCAGGGCAGGCATTTATTTTCTTAAAACCCTGATAGAGATACACAGTATGTGTATTGTGTTGCTATTGGTTACGTCAGTAGTGCTGACCTTTTTTTATCATTGCATCGATGATTGCAATACTCTGAGAGAGAGTGATAGTGTTGTAGTAGTAGTTACTGTTGAACAGTGTATGTGTACTATTCATTGACTGTATTGTATGTATTGGAGAAAATCCAATGTATTAGTACAACAACAGTGTATATGTGTATGTGTTGTATGAGTGGAAGCGCATAGTGTTATGCATAGTGTTTACAATAATACAGTATTAGACTCTCACTGACTCAGACTCACAGTCACTCATACATACATTGATAGCCAATTGAATAGCTGTGCGACAGTCAGTCAGTCAGTACTCGTGATTACCAAACGTGAGCACAAAATATATGCACATATATTGACAGTCTATGTGTGTGTGTTTGGACTCATCCATACAGTTATGTGATTGACTGTCACTCACACACACAACAAATATAATAATGCATTGATATATATATATATATATATATATAAACAACAACAACACATGTGTGATGTGCAATGAGATGACTGACCATTTGAGATGACTGTCCATCACTTAATAATTATATGCGAGGACAACAACATCAACAACTAAAAGATGATCAACACTTACATGTGATAATCACTGGCAAAACACCTACAATGTCATCACCTAATGGTTTGTATTAATTAAGTTTATAATTTTATAGCTAAAAAAATTAATGTTTTTATAATACTTAATAATTTTGTAATAAGTTTTTTTTTAAATATTTTTTAATTTATCAAATAATTTTTATCATATTTTTAAACTATTTTTTCTAACTATTTGTTTATAAAAAATATATTTTTTTAATTTTAATAATTTTTTTGTGGTTTCCTCGTTATATGAGTTGTGAATTATTATTTTTTTTTAATTTTAATTTTTAGGACAACTTTAATAGTTGTTTTATATTTTATAAATAAATATTATTTTGTATCATATATAGCATGTAATTATGATAATTATGTTTTAAATAAACAACAGAAAAAAACTTTATAAAATATATTTACAGTAATAACTGTACCGTTATTTTGTACTATTTGTGAACAACTTTTTTTTCTGTAATTCAATGCCATTATATATATAAATGCTGACTAGTATTGAATTAATAATACAGTACTTATTATATAATAATTGTAAATTCCTATCAAAAATAAAATCTAAAATTTATTATCTTATTGTTAGTTATCATTGCATTTAAAAATTTGTTGCAATCATTAAATGAAATATTTAATGATTTTTATTTGTTATATATTTCTAGGAAATACCGATGATTTAAAAGTTAGTTTTTTTATAAAAAAAAAACATTAAATATTTTGTCAATCTATTGAATTTTAATTTATAAGCTTTAAATTTATTTTATCATTTGTATATTAATTTATTTATACTCAGTATAAGCATAGATATCACTCAACCAAACATAGTCTAATAATTGTGATAATAACTGTTTCATATACTGTGTAATATAATGTTTATTATGAGTGATAATCTAATTTTTATAGTCATGTTTTTATCAAATTGATTATTATTATTATTAACATAAAGTAATGTGTATTTGTATATTTCATTATTTAAGCTTTAGATTTAATATATTTATTATTGTAGATAAATTCAATTGTTTTGTTTATAAGATATACTATATTATTCAAACATTGCACAAACACACACACATACACACAGTAGTAATAAAATTATAAACAAAATACTGATCATTGGCATAGTTTAAACCCAAATTAAATTTCCAAGTAATTGCACATATATTTAGGTTATGTGATAAAAACAAATTATTTTTAAAACAATTTTAAATCGTATATTAATTTAGATTTATATTAAAAACATATTTGTATTTTTGATTATATCATATAAAACAAGCTATTTTATCATGTAGTTATTGTTGTTTTTAACAAATTAATTAAAATATTTTCCCACAAATTATTATTTAGTAATTAATATTTTATAACAGAGTGCCAATTATTGCTTAAAAATAAAAATATATAATACCTTATATAAAAATTAATTTTAATTATAAAAACAGCATTTTTTAACAAAGATTAAATTATATTGAAATTCATTATCTTATAAAATATAGTTTTAATAAGTTTTTTTTTGATAAATTTATGTAAAAAGACAGTTATAATGTAATATTAATTGAAGTTAACTTTTAAGTTCATACGTAAATAAGTATAAACTCTTATGCGATAAATGTTTAAATAATTTTATCAATTATTACTTTTGTTACATTCAATCAATTTTTATCTAAAAATCTTGAAATATAAGTTTATTAAAACACATAAATATATTAAATCAATGCCTTATTTGTTTTAATAGTTATTTTTACGCAACTAATATTTTGTTTCATTCAATAAAAAAAAGATTTAATATTTATTAATGCTTTCAAATGATATTAAACGCTTGAAAGCTAAGTTTTAGTATTTAAAATATTAAATATTTTAGTTATTAATATAATACAAAACAGGATATACTTAAAAATGACATTTCGACAGAAAATATTGAATGCATTAAACTGAATAAAAGAAATATAAAGTATAATAGTATATAATTTATATAAACTTTAATAAACTCACCTAAAAATAGCAATTTTCTATGAAAAACACATATTTATGAGTATAATTGAAAGTAATTATTTTGATTATATAATTTTAATATAAAGCAATAACAGATGCGTTTATTTTTAGAGATTCAAATTTTTGTCATTTAATAAATACATTATTATTTTTTAATATATATATTCTAGTTATTCTATTTATTTATAAATATATTAAAAATATTTGTAATATAATACCCATCAACTTTGACAAAATATTCATATCTTTATTTAACTAAATTTAATTATTTATTTAATATAATTTGCTTGTCGAAATTTTTTGTTGTTGCTATTAATGTGATTATTTGAAAACATTTCAAAAATGTTTGTACATTTGTTTGCTAAATATAAGTGGTATTATGTTTCATTTTTTTTGTTTTGTATTTAGACATATAGCTATCCTAATTGAACGCTGATTTTTAGTTTATAAATTATAAACATATTTTTTCATTAATTATTACTTCAATTCAATAAAACGCACATTATGTCTATAGACTTATTTACTATTTATTTTGTTTGATTTTAATGTCATTTCTTGTTTTTCAAAACTTTTCAATTATATATATATAATTTACGGTACAATATATATATATATATGTATTTTTGGTTACATAGAGATAATAATATAAATGACCAGTGATAATAATCAGTGATTGATTAGTTTGCTTTTTAAAAAAATTGTTTACCATTTTATTTGCAAATTTCATAAAATGTAAATCCCTTATTTGTTTAGTTCAATTTAAAACCAATGTCTAGTATTTCATTTATGTTAAAAACAAATATAAATTTAGTTATACTGTAATATTGAAAAGTAAATTTAATTATATACTATTTATGATTCATGGCATTGATATTTATCAACTATCAATATTTGTTATACTACTTCTACTACTAGACATAGTAATGATATTTATTTAAATTTATTTAAATAAATAATGAGAGGTTATATAACACATTTTTATTTAAATAACTTAACTAACCATAAAATTAATTTATATTTATGGTTAAATTTAGTATTAGTTTTAGACAATTATTATTATTAGTCATATAAATTTTTGATATTATTGATGCTTTAATTTTAAATAAATATTTAAATTTCTAATTTATCAGTTTTTTGTTAGTACACTAGTTTTAATTTTTTATAGTTTAAGTTTAATATAATATTTTTTGATTATAATAATTGTTGTTTTTTATTAATATCTTATTTTCAATACAATTCATTTCACGATAATTTTCAATTAACCAAACTATTTGCCAAATAAGTAATGAATGTATGAAATAATATTGAATAACAACAAAAATATCAATTAAATTCTTAACATGTGATTAATAAAATGAATGTAATTTTTTATATTTCATATATGTTTGTAATATTTTATAAATTATTATCAATTCATTAATTTGTTTGGATATTATATAACTAATGCTATAAATATAAAAACGGGAAGAAAGTAGTAGCGATTGTCATTAATAGTGTTGTTTTTTGATATATTTGATGAAATTATATATTACGTTAACATATAGTAATTGTCGTCATTTGCCGTTCAAATAGACAAACATTGCATGAGATTGTGATTGAGATATTGTAATCATTGTCACTAAATATTTGGTCTATGTTTCTCTCAAATACATACACAAACAACTATATTACTATTTTTATACTTACTTTTAATATTATTATATAAACTCACTAAAAAACTATATAAATGAAAACAAACAATTAATCTATTTTTAGTAAATTTGTCGTCTAATACTGAAACATGTATTTATTGTTAATAGATATAACATTGCATTTTGATAAAAATAGCATAAGTTTTATCGATTTTCATTGATTTTTTGTTTGTTATATTTATGTACGCATAAGTTAAGTCATCGATTAATAAAATACATATACATATGAATATTATTATGTAATATTTGCCTAATATTTAACTCTAAACGTTAATCCAAAAGATGTTTCATATTTAACGATATAAAATATATTATTTTTTTATATTTATTATAATGTTTTAGTGTGTGATGCCTTATAGCGTATCTCATTTTGACTCATATAGGAAAATATATGTCAAATAAAGCCTCAAAAATAATAAAAATATAATTTATGATTACAAGCCATTGCATAACACCATAGCATAAATTGTTATATAAAACATTTAGTATTTTTACTATTAAATTTGATACACATGTATATTTAGATATAAAATAGCATTTATACTTTCAAATATATTGCTAAAAGGATAGTTTACTGTAAGCTTTCTGTATATAATTATATCGTATATAATTAAAAATATAAAAGATTATTTTTATAATGAATTTAAGCCTCAAATAAGGCAATTAAGTTTTGAAAGTATAAATGAGATGTTATTTATAATCTGTTGTGTTATTATATTACTTATACCATATATTTTACTATATAGTCAACTGTTTTTAATGTGTTGTAAAAGTTTTATATTGAGTTCATTATTAAATGGACACTGCCTTCAAATTTAAATGTATTCGCTATAATAATTAAAGTAAATGATAATAATAAGGCAAACAATTTTTTCAACATTTATGATAATATATTCAATCGATAGTCGAAAACCGCTACTTATATTATAAGAGATATTTCATTGTAATTTTGTTGGCATTTAAAATAACAATAAATAAAATTTAATTTATGCGCTTATTGTCATAAATGGTGTGATCATATTATTAATTATAAATAAATTCAAATTAGATATTAAACTTATATACACTTTTATGTATATCGTATTTGATAGTTTGGTTTATATTACCCCATAATAAATAGATTACATCATCTGTCCATCTCATGTCATATTAGAGAGAAATCAGTTTCCATTAAACATTGCATTAGATAGAGAGAGAGAGAGAGAGAGAGAGAGAGAGAGAGAGATTGTACTTAACTGTAATGTTTTGATCTTTAATAATATACAGTATTTAATAATAATTTTTCTCGAAAATGTCAAACATTAAACATTTATTGAGAAAATCGTATATAAAAATACTGATGAGTGGGTGGATGTATAAAGAA